TATAAGCGGATAGTTTGTTCGGATATCGCAGGACTCCACACAGACGCATCAGCGGCATTCTCACCTTCCTAAGATTCACTCTCTGAAAGTCCATCACTGTTTTCCACTTTATAATCAACTTGCAGGTTGCTTTTCCGGATTTCAGGTTAAGGCCAAAACATCATTATCTGGAACATTATCCCGACTTGATTAAGCGTTTTGGACCATTAGTTAATGTTTGGACCATGCGATTTGAGGCCAAGCATCGGTTTTTCAAGAGGGCTGTCAGAGATGCGCAGAACTTCAAAAATGTGTTGAAGACACTGGCCAACAAACATCAATATATGATGGCATACCATGTCAGTGCACCATCATACTTTAAGCCTGAGATTCAAGCAACTCGGGTTGATTCAGTGTTTGTGTCAGGGTTGCCAGAGGTGGCTCAAACATTCATTAAAGGACACACGGAAAGTGACACAGTGTATCATACTTCAAAGGTCTCCATTGATAGCATTGAGTATGCAAAAGGAATGTTTGTGTCTTTTGGGAGTGATGGTGGGCTTCCAACTTTTGGAGAAATTAATGACATTTACTTGATAAGTAACTCTGTTTATTTTCTCCTCCTGAAATATGTCTCTTGGTTTACAGAGCATCTGCGTTCATACGAGCTGACTTCCCTACAACATCTGTCTATCCACCAGCAGAGTGACTTCAATGATCCAACACCACTCTCTGCATATAAGAATAACGGTATTCTGGTCCTGACACCCAAGAAATTCATCCTGGTTAAAGAATAAATTCAGTAAGTCCACTGGTTTCCATAGAGCTCAAGTTATTTGATGCTTTTGTTCCCTCTGCAGCCAGTTTCACTTTCTGAAATGTATGACCAAAAGGTTTGAAATATCAAGTACTTTTTCATTGATTCTAAATTTTCAGGCAAGACATTGCAGAAATTTTTTTCATTTTCAGTTTTTGGACTAATTTGCTTTTGTGATATGTAAACTTTCACCTGGAACCAATTAAATTAACTAATCTTCATGATAACTTGTAAATTGAAGGGCTGTTTTCTCAAAATCAATTTTTCTAACACTCTTGCAACCAAATTTTCAATTTTGTAGCTCCTACAGACACCAAACCTTCCACTTTTGTACTAAACATTCTGAAGGCTTGTTCAGAGGGATTTGTCAATATCTAATTCTTAGCTGATTTATTGAGTTTTGAACCTAGAAACAACATGGCTAATTTTAAATTTTTTTTAAACACATTTTTGCACTAAAAACAACATTACTTAAATCTAAGATATCCTAAACCCCCTCAGAACAAATCTTTGTAACTAATATGTGAATAAAATAAAACCATAAATTTAAATCTGGCTCAATCCTGTTTTAAAAATTTGTTTTCCGAAATATAGGCAATTTTGGCCATTTTACTCATAAAATGCCCCATTTCCATGTAAAAAATGTTAAATGAAAAAACTTGCAATACATTTTTCTCATGTTAATCTACAGCAATAGTTGAAATAGAAATCTCTATTTTCTTTCTCTTTCCCCCTATTCATCTGCAGTGTCTCACCTTAAATTTACCTGTACGTTGCCTTTGGCATCTGTTAAGGATTTGTATTTTTTTTTTAAATCTACTGAAACCACACAATGTGAAGAAAAGACTTGTTGCTCCACTGATTGCAGAGGGAATTGCATAAATAAGATAAACCATAACCTCCTTACTATGTATGGGCATTGATAAGAATTTTACGATTCCACTTTTATTTCTGCTTAACGATTCAATTCTTAATTTTCTTTTGGAAAAAATTAAAAGGAAGATTAGCAACCCCTTTGTTTTGAAGATGAAATGCTCAAAACAAGTGACTGTTAGATACATGTATTGGAACTTGATGCACTCTGGCCAAACTTCGAGAGTTTGCCTGCAGGACTTTAATTCATGAATTAGTGTTCTCTATAAACTCTTAATGTATAAAATATACTTATAAAGATTTTGATGTTTTATTCCATTTAGTGTTAAAGCATTTATAAAAGCAGTAGCATTAACAAATGGTGTGCGTGTCTTTATAACTCTGTGTTTTGCAGACATGGACAGCGAAACAGAACACATGATTTTGCGGGTCGTTGAGCCAGACAGTGCGGAAATTTAAACTTGCCTCTCGCCCCTCCTCTGTGCAATCACTAATTCGTAGATTAAAGGATGGATTAAGTATTGACTCGGACTTTACACTGATGTATGAAGACCCTGATTTTGATGGCAAGCTCACATCTCTGGTTGACATAAATGAGCTACCTCAAAAAGCTGTTGTTCATATCAAGCTTACAGATGATTCAAGTGCAGCATCAACTGAAATTCTGTCAGATGTATCTTCCCCTGAACGCTTGTGTAGATGGCCATCTCACTTTCCTGTCCCGTCGTTTGGTTTGGATGTAGAGCTGATTTTAAGAGATGGTCAGAAAGAATATGAAAGAAATGGAACTCCACTAAAACTTACCAGGGATCAGAGGCATGATATTCTAGAAAAGATGGCCTCGGCAATATATGGATTTAAGGCTTACCAAATCAAAAAAGAGATTGAAAAGTCAGCTGCAGCACTTGTGGAAAAGCACCCATGTTTGAAAGAAAAAGGATCTGGAACTGGATATGATGGCTGGGCAAATAGCTTAAAATACAAAATGGCGAATATGCAAACTAAAATGAGAAAAGCTGGAAGTCAGGAAGTAATGGTAAATGCTGGCAAGAGAAGTCGAAGTAACCCTGATGGGGAGTGCTCACATTCCAACATTAAAAAGCCAAAGCGAGCAGAAATAAACTTTCTGCCCAACTTCCCACGAGGAGAGGATGCATCCAGTCTTGAAGAACAGAGAGAAAAAATAGTGGAGGAGATGAAAAAAGTAGAAAAGAACATGACCACGGTTGGTAAATTAATGCAAACAACCTTTGCCCTCCGAAGACAAAACATTGTGGTTTCTGCAGCACCAGTGAAGAACCTGCTGGAGCTTTGGCCTGCGCTTCAGTTGCCATCTGAGGTAATCCAAATAAAGAAGTATTTTTGCTTGTAATAGAAGCATGACCATTGTGTTTTTTTTATTGCAGGTGTATGCAGAATTTCAGCGCATAACTAACAAAAATCTGCAGAATTGTTTCTACGCCGAGCTTGATGTGCACACCACCCGTCTGATGACTCTGTTCAGACAAAAGGCATCCAAAAAAGGCAAGGCTGCTGATTCCTTGGCGGCCATTTTCAAAGTCCATGATGAGCAGGTATATTACAATAGTAAGACTGCACTTTTGTCTATTTTGTAAAACTCAACTCTCTCCCTCTGTTCTAATGCTCTTATCGTCTCCCTCTTAACGCTCTGACCATCTTTGAACTCTCTCCTAAAACTGTGCCTCTCTTCCCCCCTCTTTGTCGCTCTCATTTGTCTCTTTCTGTCTCTCCTCTATTCCTTTCATTCTGACACCCCGCTTCTTAAAGGAATAGTTCAGAATTTTGGACATAGGGCCTCATCTCCTAGTGAGCCCAAGTGTTAGATGTTGGCAGACACTTTTTTACACATTTCCTCCAGTCCTTTGATTTGCAGAGGGTGCTAGTCCTAACGCTAACGGAAGTCAATGCAAGTCAACGATGCCAGTTTTACCTGCTCCACAGTACAACCGTTGACAAATCAGTTATAATGCCAGGGCGGTGAGGTAAATGTCTGTGTTGATCATTTTAGAAGCAATAGTTTTGCTTCCTTATATTTGAAGGATTCATGTCGGCGAACCAGCTCCATTTACTTCCTGGTGGTGCATTCTGAGTGACTTTGGGTAAACAGAGCTGGTTTGCTGACACGAGTCCTTCAAATATAAGGTTGGTTTTGCTTCTAAAATAATTCTATCAACAGACATTCACATTTCTGCCCTGGCGTTATAATTTGTCACAGGCGCACTGTGGAGTGGATTAGACTGTTTTGAAGACAGGTTAGACTGGCACTGTTGACTTGCACTGACGTCAGTTAGTGTTAGGACCAGCATCCTCTGCAAATCTAAGGACTGGATGAAATGTGTATAAAAGTGTCTCCTAACACTCGGGCTCACTAGGAAATGAGGCCCTATGTCCAAAATTCTGAACTATTCCTTTAAAGGACAACTTGATCGATTTACAACATGCAGCTGTATTGCACCAGCTACCCTTGACTTGTTCGAACCCAAAGATGCATCATGTTTTGGTCCATCCCTGACAGAGTTCCTGAATGTCGCGGTAGCCTGGCCATGCAGCTAAAGTGATTGGGGCAAGCGTTTCATTTGGGGTTTTA